TTTTGTTTCAATTCCTATCTTTCACTTATGTTAGCTTAATTCTGGACGTCAGCGAATAACTCATGCTGAATGATGCAGATGCATACTCTTGTTCATCCACCGCTGATAACACTACAAATATTTCTGGTCAACAATACACATAGAAGAGTTATTTTCTCATTGTACAAAAGAGATAGTTACTAGTAAGTCTTCACGTCTTATCGACAACCCACATCCACAGTGATGATATGAACTCTCCCATCTTACTGAAAACTTGTGAGGGGATATTGGACCGTGATCTAGCGCGCACCTTCATGTGAACGAAGTATTCACTAGAGTCAGGAGATTATCGTTTTGCCTTTCGTCTCATAGTTGATTACTTTTGCAATTCATCACTGTGTGTTTTTGATCCCATTGATTGTACTACTATAACGTGATCTTTCACGGTCCCGTGAGTAAAGAACACAAAGTATTTGCCAGGACATTGGAACATCTAGGTCGATGTAGTGGCGCACCAAGGCAACAGGTACTTGAGATCATTGTGTCCCGCGGTCTAAATACCATCAAAACGTCAGCTTCAAAATTAGTCACTGAAGCCAGCCATTGTTTGAATTCCTATCAACCTCAGCGGACGGTCAAGTGTACAAAATCATCTGTCATGTATTTTGACAGATCAAATTGTAAACAGCTAAAATCTGGCCAGCAAACAAATTCAGTGTATATTCTCTGTTTGTTAACTTTTCAAGAGCTGCTTTTTTGCATCCATCCGCCTTTACTGTTGTTTGTCGTTTATCCCTGTCATTGGCCGGTGTTTTCTTGATGAATTTTCACACGCTGCGCATTCATAACTACGTGAATTAGCCCTCGATTTCGCAACATTTTTCGGACATCTTCAAGCTGGGAAGTCACTTTTCCTTCTTTTTCTTTCGTCGCTGCTTTTTGTTACCATGGTAATGCAGTTAAAGGTAGCCACACCAACTTTTCTCTGATATTTGAACTGTAGTGGTAACAGTAGATTTAGGAATACTCGTTAGCGTACCGGACCCCATCCGAACAATCCAAGCTCGTTCGTTGCACTTGTAGGGCGTGATGTATGGGTGCCTCATTGACAGGAAGTGCCTAACACACCTACAGTGATTTATAAGGTGCAACAAAACGATTACTTGAAGGTTTCTGTAGGATGACCGGAGTGAGGATTAAAATGGCATGAAAAATAGATATTTCTGGTTTAGAGTGACTTAGCGAGATATTCACATGAACTCATGCTGGTCCCTTAACCCTTAGGTAGTGGAGAGGGCTAGTGAGCACACTGTTTGAATTGCGTTATTTCCTATTCCGATGGAAACGGACCATGTCACACAATGTAAATGGGATAGGGTATGGTCCAATCCTTTTACTATGATCGGCTGCGGCAGTCAAGGATATTCACGGTCCTGGACTTGAGATCAGGATACTGGCAACTGGAAATAAAACAGGAAGATCGAGAGAAGACGTCCTTTACCGTTGGTGAGGAACAGTATCAGTTTAAGAGGATGCCCTTTGGATTATCAGGAGTCCCGTTTACCTTCCGACGTCTAATGCTGCGATTGCTGAGTGAATTGGAAAACGTGGTTGTGTACGGGGATGATATCGTGGTGTATAGCCAATCAGAAGCGGAACATATCCATCATCTCGCGGCAGTTCTGGAACGCATTCAGCAGTCGGGACTTCGTATAAATGGACCAAAGTCCCAGATCGGAAAGACCTGTGTCACCTTACTGGGCCATAAAGTGGGACAAGGCGAACTGAAACCGCTACCTGAGAAGATAATGGCGATACAAGGCAGCCCAGTTCCCACCTCGAAACGCACTCTCCGTACATTCCTGGGCCGCGCCGGGTACTACAGCAAATTCGTCAAGGATTTTAACACCTTGGCCTCATCCTAGTACGAGCTGTTGAAACATGATAGGAAATTCACTTGGAATGCAGAAGCTCAACGAGCTTTTGATCAGATTCTACAGGAAATGGGAAGACAGGAGTTGACCCTGAAATTGCCAATTGCTGGTGAGGTGTTCACGGTAGCCACTGACGCCAGCGATGTCGGGATCGGTGCGGTGTTGAAACAAACCATGGGACGATTGAGTATGCCTGCCGAACTTTGACGCCTGCAGAACGCAGATACTCAACCATAGAGAAAGAATGTTTCGCAATTATCTGGGCGTTAGATAAATGGCAGCCATATCTCCTGGTTCAGCGATTTCACGTCGAAACAGACCACAGACTGTTGGAGTGGATTAAGTCTGCCAAAGACCCCAGAGGAAAGCTGGCGAGATGGGCATTGCGCCTACAAGAGTATGATTTCACGATTAAACACGTACCGGAGAGGGAAAATCAGACGGCGGATTTCTTGTCACGCATGATAGATGATGATGATCTGCCGAGCGTAGCTTTCGGTATTAACGGTATACTGTGCGAGCAGCATCCAGAACGGTTGGCAACTGAGCAACGTAGCGACAAACTCCTGCGCAAGTTGATCACCGCGCGATTAGCTGGTCAGACAAATTTTAACAAAAACCAACTCAAGCAGCTGGGACCGTTTGCAAAAGACCTGGGAAAGCTGCAAGTGAACGAAGCAGGGATCTTAATGTGGATACCAGTAGGTAGCAACCCTTCGATGCCAGTCATTTCAATGAAACAAAGACGGAATCTAGTAGTTTCTTGTCACGAGATGGCTCACACAGGTTGTTCCAGGACCTACGATCTGCTGAAACAACGCGCGTATTGGCCGGGGATGAAAATGGACGTTGAGAAGTGCGTACTTTCGTGCAGACAATGTCAGCTCATGAAAACGGATTGCCGAGGAATGCAGCAGCAAGCGATGACGATCCCGGTCTCGGAAATTGGTGAACTTCGGTCGGTCGACGTGATGGGGCCGTTTCCATTGACCAGACGTGGTAACCAGTACATTTTCTTGATGACGGAACACTTCACGCGATGGATTTAGGCAACAGGGATCCCAGATCAACGAGCTAGCACCGTTACCCATGCTGTCATGAATCACTTGGTAGTGGCTCACGGAATCCCAAAGGCCATCTTAACAGACCAAGAGCCGTGCTTCGAGAGTGAAGAATTCCGGAACTGTTTGGAGAAACTTGGCATCAAGAAATTGCGCACCACCCCATACCACCCGCAAACAAATGGCCTGACAGAACGTAATAATAAAACAATCAAGGAGCGGCTAGCAGCAAAAGGTGGAGACTGGGAGGAAGCGCTGCCGCTACTGTTGCTGGCCCATCGAGCAACCAAACAGGCTTCCACAAAGAAATCACCATTCCAGTTGATGTACGGTCGACAACCTCGTCTATCTGTGGACCTAGAGATTGGAATGTGGACAACTTGCCGTATATCTCCCGAGGGGACACGGAATAACCGGAAGACCGCCAACCGCAACCTACAGGTGACTCAGGCGCGGATGATGGCGAAGTTCCAGACCAGCAAAAGTGGAAGGAATATCGAGTTTCAGATTGGTTCGAAAGTGAAGTGCAGGGACCATCAACGCTATCCCACTTGCGGCCCAGGGGAGAGGAAACTCCTAGCGAAGTGGAAAGGACCGTAGGAGGTAGTCGACCGACGAGGCCCAATGTATACAATCGCTCGGCAAGGTGAATCGCGGTGTGTGAATGCCAGCGAGCTGAGGAAATGGTACGAATTGGAGGAGGAAACACGCTCGTACAGTGAACATCCCTGACGGTCAGAAAGACTCCGACGGAAGGCAGCTGACTCGAATCCTTTGAAGGGGGAGGAGTGTGGTGGATTAAAGGTAGATACTACTTCGCCGGGTATAAATAGTGTGGTGCAAGATGACACACCAACAGCGAGCCCTGCCGACTTCCCCAAAGTTGAAGATGACATCAGGAATACAGTTCCATGTGCAAGAGGAGTGAACACAGAGGAAAGCAACAGTTGGGAAACACTCCATGGAAATCACGCAGATGAGCGGACGCCTCCAAAGTATGGACGAGCACACCTAGTGTAAGCCTCTTTATCAATAAACAA